GGATTAATAGACATGTTCTATAAAGAGCTCTTGGATATTATTAAGAAAACGAAGAACAAAAGTAAATTTTTTAAAAAGTAGATGAATGTGAAGGGGTGGCTGCATGGAAAAGATGAGAAAAGATGAGAAGGTGACTTGGAATCAGGTTATAGTGGAGTAGATGGAGACTGCGGATATTTCTAGGTATATTTGGGGAGTAGATGGGATAAGGGTTAGTTTGGAATATAAAACAACATCTAGGTTTGTAGTGGGATGAAAGCGGAGCCATTTAGCAAGACAATTAACACCTGGCACCTGGTAAGGAGCAGTTAGGCAGGAAGATGCATGATTTTGAAAAGAACAGTGTTGGTCCAGCCAAAGGGGTGATACCAGGAGACCAGTGGAGAAATCCAGATAAGACATGATGCCGGCCTGGGCTAGGGCCAGCCATGGAATGGTGAGTTGTTACCATTTAGACATTTAACCTAACATGGGATGGAATGTCAGTAGCAAATCAGCTTTGAATCCATGTAGTACAAGACCTGAAAATAGAGGCCTCGATTCTGTCATATCCCAAATTATCACCCATAGCCCCATCTTAATCCTTCCAAAGTTGGGTGGAGAAGAGGGAAGGATGGATCAAAATTAGAATTTTATCAAGCAGAAAATAATCTTCAGCCTGGGTTGCACTGATAAAAAAAAAATAGGCAGAATTCATAATTACCATATAAAACTGTTTACGTTTGTGATTATATGTTACTGCCACCTCCAGGTCCTGGCAGCAAATGACTTAATAGCTTTTGCCTGGAGCTGGGTCTTGGGGAGAAGAAAGAGGGTCTTGCTGCCCATCTCCAATTGGGTTTTGGGTATTGCCCCCCATTTCTGCATCAACTTCTACCACACATGAGAACAACTGCCTTTGCCTGGTAAAGTTGTCCAAAGCCAGAGGTAGGGCTGGGAATCTTGGAGTTCAGTAGGATTAGTTAGGTTTAGTCAAACTGGGCTGGAAAGAGGGGAAGCAGGAAGATGCTGGTTTCAAGGCAATAGGACATCAGAAACAGGGATATCATCACAGATTAGGACTGTCTATCAGCCCCATGAGCCAAGGATCCCTAAGAGAATCGAACCTCACCAATTTGCTCACCAATCTATCCCCTAGTGCCTGGCACAGAGGAAGTGCCTGTCTGAGTTTATGCTTCCTTAGAAACAGCCCCTGAGACAAGGACTGCAGTGCGAATGGGCGATTGTAGGAGACATCCGTGTGGGCGCGGGGAAGGGAGACAGATTGTAAGGACGCCACTATGGGGTTACCACTGTGGGTCACAGGAACCTAACTCTCCCAGGGACCTGAGGAAGTTGGAACTAAGTGAAAAAGGGAGCTGGGATATTTTTCTACCAACTCTCATATTGTGGGTTTAAGGCTACCCTTGGGGAGTGGGAAAAGGGTGGCGTCATGAATTCCCAGGAAGTTCCATTCCATCGTGTTTATGGGTAGAGAATGCATCAGAGCCCCAAGTAACCCTTGGGCAAAGAAACACACGTGTTGGCAGTTGGATGCTGGGTTGGAATGCCCTGGAAAGGTAAAGCCAAGGAGGTACAAGGAAGGCACCCAAAGGACCTCTTAATTTAATTAGTATTAAATTAAATAAGTGCATAAAAAAATGAATGAAGAGTCCATGAGTTTGAGACCAAGAATTCAACACCTAGTCAATTTGCCTTTGTCAGTCGTGACTCCTAAAGTCTCCACTACCAGGCCTTTGGGGAGGTCATTTAACCTCTTTGTGCCTCAGTTTCATTGTCAAAATGGTGGTTATTGTATTAACTTGATATGATTGTTAAGGATACTCAACATGAGATGTTGTTCCACTCACTCATTAGTATATGAGTACTTATTGAGCACATACTACATGCCCGGTTCAGGGGTAGGTGCAATGGGAAGCATAGTGTAACACCTCCCCACCAGGGCATACTTGCCCAGTAGCTTTCAATAAATGTTAAGCTTCCATACTCTTTCTCCAGTTGAAGTGGGAGTGAAGAGCAGGGTTGGGGGATGCTGGTGGAATCTAGACCTTGAACTTCATTTTATTTTAGAGAGATTTCTCAGGAACTGAATCAAAATCTGTGAACTACAGTAAGATCCACAAGGAGCTTCATTCATTCATTCATTCATTCATTTGTTCTGCATGTATTTACTGAGGATCTATTCTGTGTGGGTCCTTGTACCCAGATCTTTCTTTTCCTTCACCTATTCAATTCATGACCAAGTCCTGTCAGTTATGCCACCTGAAGCTCTTTATTCCAACACTACCCTAAATCAGGTCTGATCATCTGCCCCAAGTTTTCTGCAGCAGCCTTCTTCCTGCTCCCTAACCTTGTGTCTCCCTGCCAAAAACTTCTATAGCTCTCCATTGTTCTCAGTAGAAAACCCCAGGTGACTTAACTCTGGCCCCTGCCTCCTTCCACAGCTGTATGTACAACCATTTCACCACCCCCAATACCAACTTTTTATTTTTAAATAACTTTATCACGATATAGTTAAAATTCCATAAAATGCACCCATTTAAAGTGTAGAATTTAATGATTTTAGCATATTTGCACAGTTCTGCAACCATCACTCAAATCTAATTGTAGAATATTGTATTACCCCACAAAGAACCCCATATCCATTAGCAATCACTCCCACTTACCCCAGCACAAGCCCCTGATCAACACTAAGCTATGTTCTGTTTCTGTAGTTTCCCTATTCTGGAATTTCCTATAAGTATATAATATGCGGTCTTTTGTGACTAGCTTCTTATGCTCATCGATACTTCATTTCTTTTTATCATTGAATAATATCTCATTGTAAAGATATAGTACGTATTGTTTATCAGTTGATGGATATCTGGCTATTTCACATTTTTTGGCTACTGTGAAAAATGCTGCTGTGAACATTCATGTACAGTTTTTGCATGGACGTATGTTTTCATTTCTGTTGGGTTTATAGGAGTGGAATTGCTGGGTCATGTGGTAACTCCAGGTTTTACATTTTGAGGAACTGCCAGACTGCCTACCAAAGGACTGTACCATGTTACCTTCCCACCAGCAGTGTATGAGGGTTCTAGTTTCTCCACATCTTCACCAACACTTGTCATTGTCTGTCTTTTTTTATTACAGTCATCTTCGTGATTTTGATTTCTATTTTTCTAATAACTAATAATACTGAGTATCTTCTCATGTTCTTACTGGCCATTTGGATAGGTTCTTTGGGGAAAAGCCTACTTAAATCTTTTGTTCATTTTTTAATTAGGTTGTCTTTTATTATTGAGTTTTAAGCATTTTTATGTATTCTAGATATACATTCTTTATTAGGCATATAATTTGCCAATAAGTTCTTCCATTCTGTAGGTTGTCTTCACTTTATTTTTTGTTGCATTTCTTTTTTTATTGAGGTATAACTGACATATAACATTATATTAGTTTCAGCATAATAATTCAATATTTGTGTGCATTGTGAAATGATCATCAAAATAATTCTAGTTAACCTCCATCACCATCTTTTTACTTTTCTGTTGGTATCATTTACAGCATAAAAGTTTCTAATTTTGATGAAGTCCAATTAGTCTATTTCTTTTGTCTCTTGTACTTTTGCTATCATATTTAAGAAAACGTTGCCTCATTCAGGATCATGAAGAGTTACTCCTATGTTTTCTTTTAGAAGTTTTATAATTTTAATTTTAAGTCTTATGTTTAGATCAATGATCCATTTTGAGTTATGTTTTGTTCTCTTGCATGTGAATATCCATTTGTCCCTAGCACCATTTGTTGAAAATACTATTCTCCCCATTTAGTAGTCTTGGTATTCTTCTCAAAAATCAATTAATCACAGATGCTTATTTCTGCACTTTAAATTCTATTCCACTGATATTTATGTCTATTCTTGTGCCAGTATCATACTGTCCATACCCTTTTTAAGTGGTAAAAAATGTTATTTTACATGCCAGTGTTTGATCTCTCAGATTAAACCATGAGTGCCCACACACAATAGTAGTAGGACGACGTCTTAATAGTGAGTCATTATCTAACTTCTTTCATGCTGTGTGACTCTGAGTCATTTACTTAACCTCTCTGAACCTGTGTTTCTAAGAGCTTCACTTATAAACATAAGAATAATGCCATCTTCTTTCTTGCCTCGCATCTTCTCTCCTCTCTTCCCTTTCTTAACTTGGAAGACAGAGATCGTGCCTCATTTATCACCAGATCAGCACAGTGTCTGATACAGAGTAAATACTGAGTGTGCATTTGCCGAGTGAATGAATGGTCCATCTTGCTGGAGAGCCAGAGAACAAGGTTTCGGATGTACTCACACTGCTGGTTCTAAATAAACAATGACTTGGCGGTAGCTGAGAGATCAGGTTTCCTGTTCCTTCTTTGTCTTGTTTCAAGGCATTAACCCTCTCTTCTTCATTTCTCAGTCTTGCCTTGAGGCTCAGAGAAGCCTGCCTCCTTCTCTGCAAGCAGGAACCTTAAATCATGGAGCAAATGTTTCTCAAACTTTGTGTTCAGAATTGTTTCACCAAAAGAAATCCCTCTCTGTTCCATTTATTAGGTATTTAGGCGCAAACTTAATGAGCATTAATGTCCTAACAACTGAGTAGCTGTTTTGTTGTGGATTTTGGACCGTGTACTCAGAAGAACCAAGTGGCACTCAGCGAACTAAGATTCCTTTACACTTCCCATATCATTCTCTCCATTGATGCACCCTTAACTTGTGTTTGGGTCGCATCACACATCAGATCGTTGGGATATGGGTTCATACGGGTGGCGGAGGACCATCTGAAGCTTGATGGCCTCTACCCATTCTGAGATTAAGTTTGACAGGTAACGCAGAACACAGAGTGCCAGTGTGAGGACAAAGATAAGTCTAACTAGGGGTCCAAGGAGCAGTACCAGCCAGGAACCCCAGGATTGTAAAGGGTTCCACCATGTTTCTTCCTGCTCCCTTTCTGCTATATGGCCCTGGATTCAAGCACGCAGCTGGCTTAGGTTTTCTCGTATGACTCCAGATTTATTGGCATAGAAACAGCGTTGTTCTTTAAGGTAAAGACACGTGCCCCCTTGGCTGGCGGTAAGCAGGTCGAGGGCCCTTCTATTCTACAGAGCAACCTCTGCCAGTGAGTCTACCTGATCTTGGAGTGTATTTAGAGCACTCTCTAAGGCACTGAGGTCTGTATCTATATGAGCGGACAGTTGAAGGAATTGATGTTTAGCTACGCCTATTGTGGCTCCTCCAGAGAAATTTCCCCCTATTGCCCCAATTCCTGCCAGCACCGGTATTAATATGGGTGCTTGGCGAATTCGGGGCCTGATTGGCTCCGCCAGGTAGATTACATCAGAGCCGGGCATAACCGAGAGGTTAGGCAATAGAATAGTTATGGCACATAAGCTGCACCGTGACCCGTCGAGACAGGTGTACACCCCATCTGAGCAAGAGAAATACGTGCCATTTGGAGGCCAGTACAGGTATTGGAATTTAGCTGCCAGATTTGGGTGCAATCAGCAGTTACATTAGGCTGGGTTCCTGTACCTTAAACACAGGTGGTATTACCAACCAACGTTACTGAGGGTCAGACAGGCCAGGCAGTCCCAGAATGCTGAGGGGTGACGATACCATTTACCCCAAGGCCTGTATAGGTCCAGGTAGTCATAGAAGTGCAGAGCTAGCAGTTGGACCCTAGGGAGGAGTTGGTTAGTAGCAGAAGTTGATGGGTAGAATTGACAATTTCCCAGAGTGGGAATTCAGGGGGGCCGCATGTCTGGAGGGGGTAAGAAGTGGGGAGACAGACTGTGGGAGGGGTTGGCACTGTGGGGTTTGAGCCTCAGGCGAGAGGTAGGATTGACCACCCAGGACTTGACTATCTTAATGAGAGCTCCTGGATCTTTTCCTTTCCCATCTATCCTGACCCCAACTATCACCTCTTGGCTCCATTTGGAGTCCCCTGGGTCCTTGATGTCATAGGAAGTAGGGTTGCAGTGACCAAAGGAGCAGTTCGCCGGGGGCCTAAGGAGGGTTACTCCGCTGCTTAGAACCCCCGAATGGGCATGGGGGCAACTCCAGTAGGGGCAGTAGAATTCTCCTACATCGTCACAGTCACCCTTCTCTCTTGACTTAAAACAGAGGTATTTATGTTGCGTAGCATAATACCGTTCCCATCCTAGCCCACCACAATTTGTCCGTGATTTGGGTTCCATTACCCCACAAGCATCAAATTGGAGGGTAACAGGGTGGCGGTGCCCGTCCCACCTAGTGGCATTAACTATCCCTCCATCCCCGCCATGTCCGAATAACCTGGAATTTCCAATGTCCTGAAGCAGGGAAAACAGTCCTCATGAGTCCTAGAACGATGATCACCTTGATTGGAGCCATCCTCAAGCTTCGGCCGTGCGTAGACTGATCAGCCCACGGAGTGATCAGAGCAGGGCTTGCAGATCTTATCTGGTGGTCAGGGTCCTGTTGGCAGTCATTGGTGTCCGAGGAAGGAATTTGGTGGCAAGCAGGCCTACCAAAGACCAGAAGGAGATCGCCAACAGCGACCGCTGAAAGTTTGTCCAGCTCCTTGGGGAGATGATTGCCATTCCAATTCCTAATACAAAAGAGATTAGGCTGATAGTTATTAGAACACCTAGGTCATGTGGACTCATTGGGGCTCCACTTCTTTATGCAGAGGCGGAGCGGATTCTGTGGGTTCAGCTGGCTTGTCCACTGGTTATCGGAAAGGTCGGCTTTCTTGACCTTAGAATAATGTATCCAAGGAGTTATCCCGATTACCTTAAGAGCAGTAGGTGTGGTTAGGATAACTGTGTGGGGACCTGTCCACTGTGGCTGCAGAACCTCCTTTTTTCAATCCTTTATCCATACTATGTCCCCGGGTTTATGAGAGTGGACTGGTGTCCCGAGCAGTATAGGGACCCACTCCAGAGTGTATTCTCATAGTTGGGTTAAGATAGTCCCTAGACCCTGAAGCTGTTTGGAGAGGTCCCAGTGGCCTATCTGATGTAAATCTCCTGGGATGCTTCCCAAGCATGGGGGAGGCCTCTCATATACCAGTTCAAAGGGAGAGAGCCCCACTTTGTTGGGAGTACATCAGGCTTGAAGCAGGGCTAAAGGGAGTAGGTCTGGCCAAGAGAGACCGATCTCTCGGCTAAACTTGGCGAGAGTGCCCTTAAGGGTACAGTTCATGAGTTCTACTTTCCCTGAGCTTTGGGGTTGATATACTGTATGGAGCAATCATTTAATGCCTAGGGCCTGAGACAGTTTCTAGGTAAGCTCTGCTACGAAGGCGAGTCCATTGTCACTGTGGATGTTAATTGGCAACCTGAACCTGGGTATTATCTCCCGGAGCAGAACCTCTACTATTTCCCTGCTCCATTCAGTCCTCGTAGGAAAAGCTTCTACCCATCTGGAGGATGTGCAGACTAATACTGCTAGGTATTTGTAGCCTCAGCTAGGTGAGACTTCAGTAAAGTCTATTTCTAAGTCTTCAAAAGGACTGGTTCCAGTCCTTTATACTCCAGGTGGTGCCCTGGGTGCTGTTTGGGGGTTGTTCTTGGCAGAAGTCAGGCATCTACTAGATATCTTGTTACATAAGGCAGAGAGTTGACTTATATAGTATTTTTTCTTCATTAGAGCTTCCAGGGCAGTTTTCCCTAGGTGAGTGAATCGATGATATTCAGCCACTAAGGAGGGACCAAGGAGTACAGCGACAAAGATTTGTCCTGTTGGTAACTTCCACCAATGTCCTTTAAGTCTTATAGCCCCTCAGATTTTGCCCATTGGTCCTCCTCTGGAGTGTAGGGAGGTGGTTGATCTTCCAAGGTGAGAGCGGGCACTACAAGACCAGTCTTTTCCTTAGGGGGCACCTGTTGAGCTGCAGTTGTGGTTGTCTCGTCCACCAAGCAATTGCCTTCTGTTACTGGGTCATCTCCTTTCTGACGTCCCCAACGGTGCATGATGGCAACCTCCTTAGGTAGCCATATGACCTCAAGAAGTTTTAGGATCTCTTCCCTGTTTTTGATAGTTTTTCCTCCCGCCATTAAGAGGCCTCTTTCCTTGTAGATGGCCCCATGGATGTGAACAGTAGCAAAGGCATAGCGGGAATCTGTATAGATATGAGTCCTTTTTCCCTTGCCCAGTTCAAGGGCTCGGGCTAGCGCGTGCAGCTCAGCTCGTTGTGCTGACCACCTGGCTGGAAGTGATTGGGCTTCGAAGATTTCTTGCCGGGTAGTTACAACATAGCTGGCCTGGCGTTGCCCTTCTTTTAAGAAGCTGCTCCCATCACAGAACAGGGTTAGTTCTGAGTTGGAGATGGGTTTGTCCTTAAAGTCCGGCCTGCTGGTACAGACCTCGTCAGTCACAGTCATGGTCTGGCTCTCCTTCCTCAGTAGGGAGGAAGGTAGCAGGGTTGAGAGTTCTTACAGTTTCAAGGGTGATGCGGGGGTTTTCACATAGCATCCCCTGATACTGTATTAGTCTTGCATTAGAGAGGAACCGATGTCCCTGGCTGTTCATTAGGTGGTGACTGCATGGGGGAATTTTACATGCAGTTCCTGCCCCAAGGTGATTTTGTCTGCCTCTTGAACTAGTATTGCTGTGGTGGCCAGGGCACAGAAGCAGGGTGGCCATCCGGAGGCGACCGAGTCCAACTTTTTGGATAGATACGCTATAGGCCTCTGCCATGGCCCTACTGTTTGAGTCAACACTCCTAGGACGACTGTTCTTCTCATGGACAAACAGATTGAAGTCCCTTTCAATGTCAGGTAGGCCGAGGGCCGAGGCCTGACCAAGGGACCTCTTTATTTCCTGAAAGCCATCTCTTGCCTCTTGAATCCAGTTTAAGGAACCCGATTCAGGCCTGGTTAAGAGATTGTACAGAGGCAGGGCAAGAGCTGAGTACCCAGGGATCCAGATGCAGCAGAAACCAGCCACTCTGAGGAATTCACGTAAGCCCCTCTTAGTTTCCAGCTGAGCAATGGAGGTTATCACTGCCTTCTGCGCAGGTCCTAGGGCCCATTTTCCTTGACTGAGGAGGAATCCCAGGTATTGGACCTGAGTTCTGCAAATCTGAGCTTTCTTCCACAAGTCTTTGTACCCACAGGTAGTCAGAAGTTCCAGTAATATTCGTGTTCCTGTTACACAATCTTCCTCAGTTTCCCCAGCAAGTAGGAGATCATCCACATACTGGAGGAGAGTACACTGGCTCTCCTCTCTGGGGAATGCTGCCAGGTCGGCTGTGAGTGCTTCCCCAAACAATGTCGGTGAGTTCTTAAAACCTAGACCAGGTCAGTTGCAGTTGCCTGCCACTATCGGGCTCCTGCCATTCAAAGGCAAACAGAGGCTGACTTTGGGGTGCCAGCCATAGGCAGAAGAAAGCATCCTTGAGGCCCAGGCAGGTGATCCATTTGGCTGTGGCAGGAAGTTGTCCGAGGAAGGTGTACAGATTGGGCACCACCAGGTGTAGGGTTACCGTAGCCTTGTTGATTAGTCAGAGCACCACCAGGTATAGGGTTATCATAGCCTTGTTGCTTAGTCAGAGATCCTGCACTGATTGGTATCCTTGCCCTCTTGACTTGACTGGCAGCAGCGGTGTGTTCCATGGGGACTGGCATTCAATGAGTATCCCATGTTCTCTGAGGTGAATCAGATGTTCTTGCATGCCTGGCCGTCTGGTCTGGGGAATGGGGTACTGGCGGAGGCACTGAGGGACGGCCCCAGGAGTTAAACCAACTATTACAGGAGGTCGATTCATTGCTGGTCCGGGTGGGTTATCTTCGGCCCATACAAGGAGAAAGTTGATCCAATACTCGAGAGGATTGCCTTGTTCTTCCGAGGAGTAAAACAGAGTCCATTCCTCCTCCCAGGGTACCGAAATGGTCGTCACGAGTGCAGTACCTCCTTTTGGGCCCTTCAAGCTCAGGGTAGTTTTCTCACCTTGTTCGAAAGTTATTTGGGCTCCTAACTTGGAGAGGAGGTCCCAGCCCAGGAGAAGGATTGGGCAGTCAGGCAGGTAGAGGAACTCACGTCAGATCACATGTCCCCCGATTTCGCAAGTGCGAGCTTTGCAAAAATGTTGTTGGATGGCTCTTTCCCCAGTAGCTCCCAGGACGGTTGCAGTCCTTTTACCCAGTGGGGCTGTGGGAGAGGTGACAACCGAATGCTCAGCTCCAGCGCCTACCATAAAAGTCACAGGTTGGCCCCCTACATTTGCTCTGACCGTGGACTCCCGGGGGCCGAGCTGGATGGAGCCCGGTCCCCTTCAGTCTGAATCTGCATCTGCCAGTTCGATGAGTTCTCCATCTTGTGGCTCTTGTTGGTACTTGATGCTTCAACGACCCTTCCTTCTTTTATTGGGGCATTCATTTTTCCAGTGTCCCGTTTCTTTGCAGTAGGCGCATTGGTCCCTGAACAATCTGGGCTTCTCAGGTTCCGCCTTTGGGGCGCACTCCTTTCCCTGTCCTCAGGGCCCTGACCCCTTGTTGTCCCTCAGGGCCGCTGCCAGCAGGGCTGCTTTTTCTCTGTGAACCCTCCGGTCTTCCTGTTCTGCAGTGACAACTCGGTTTGCATAGACCTTGTGGGCTATGTCTAGAAGTTGAGTGACATTCATCCCAGCAAATCCTTCCAGCTTCTGGAGCTTTCTTCGCATATCTGAGGCAGATTGGGCTACAAAAGCGGCATTGACCATATGCTGGTTGGCTGTAGCCTCCAGGTTGAAGGGTGTATAAACTCGATAGGCCTCACAGAGTCTTTGCTAGAAATCCCCAGGGGTCTCATTGGCTTCCTGAACTACCGAGGAGATCTTGGCCATGTTCAAGGGTCTTTTGTTCCCTGCCTTTACACTGCAAGGAGGGCGTCTTGGTACCTCTGGATGTGAACTTGTCCTTCTTTGGTAGCGAAGTCCCAGTTTGGCCTCTCATCGGGTGCTGCCTTTTGAGCCCATCTTTCCAGGTCCACCATCCCGACTGGGATGTTTTCCTCTAGATATTGCCTACCTCCCTTCAGGACATGTATTCTCTTCTCTTTCATGAAAAAGGTCTTAAGTAACTGCTGACGGTCGTCCCAGGTAGGTGGGTGTGTCTGGAACAGAGACTCCATCATCTCGACCATTGCTTGGGGTTTGTGCAAGTAGGAGGGGGTATTGTACTTCCAATTTAGGAGATCAGTGGTTGAGAATGGCTGATAATACATCATCGTCCATCCCGAGTGTAAAATCCTATCCTCGTCTTGAACCACAGATTCCCAACTTTCTCGTACAGGCATTTGGAGAGCAGCTCAGGACCATAGGCATGCTGCTGGGCCTTGGGAGAAGGTGTCTTTAGGAGTAGGTGCTTCCGCAGGAGGGGAAACTGAAGGAGGTGGAGTCTCTGGCAGCCGAGGAGCAGTAGGCCGGGTGGTACGTATGGAGGGGGGTGACGCTTCGCTTGTCTCTGGGTCCTGGGGTAGAACAGTGGCCTTCTTTGTGTCTGTTCCTCTCCTTTCAGAAGATGCAAGGAGGACCTTGGCCTGTCCCTGCCTATGCATGTGAATCGTACCCATGGGGGCAATCTCTGAGCTATATCCAGCCAGGAGTCAATGTAGGGGAACTGGTCAGGGTACCCCGGGCTCCCTGTCACTACGTTCCACACTCGCTGGACCGTGGGGACATCTAGAGTCCCTTCAGAAGGCCATTCTACCTCACAGAATGTTCGGAGTTTCCTGGGGTTCAACTTCACCCCATAGTCTCCTGAGAAACCTTTCCTGAAATTCTTTAACATAGTCTCAAGGACTGTTGCCTTACTCTGACTTGACCCCATGTTTTCCCACTGTGCCGGTGCCGCAAAGACAGACAAAGGGTGGGGTGTCCCTTTTCAGAGACCACTCAGATGCCCGCCTGGCCGCGTCTCTCTCGAGTCGGTCCTGGCTAAGGTGTACCCGTATAAACTCCGGGCCTGGTCGTTCCCTGGAGGGATGAATCACCATTATGCCTTATGATGTTACTACGGAACCGCAGGTTGGGGCCCTCTCAGACCCCGTAGTTTTTAACCGTGGGGCCACAGACTGGAAACTCAGAGACAGGTCTCTGAGATCCACACAGGCACACACACGCTCTCAGAGGTTAAAACATTCCCTCCCTTGTGGTCCCTGCCTAAGGGGCACTTGCCCCTGGGAGGTGATCGGTCTCCTCTTCCACCCTTAAGGTGGGCCTGCCTGGGTCCCCCGCCTTACCGCGTTTGATGTAGATCCGCTGAATCTCCTTGTTCTCGCTGCTCAGAGTCCAGGGGATACAACGGAGCAGCGGGGCGGAGTGCAGCTGGGCTCAAGACCGCCCAACTGGGGCGGGGTGTACCTTCTAGTTCCTCAGTTGCCTTGGCGACCAGCATCCAGGCGTTGTGCCCAAACTGGTGGCTTCAAAGGGCCAGCGCAGTTGGGTTTCCTGGTCAGGGATCCAAAATGTTGTGTATTTTGGCCTGCGTACTCAGAAGAACCAAGTGGCACTCAACGAACTAAAAATTAAAGGAGGTTTATCTATCCCGGCAGGCTCAGAGGAGTCCTTCTCCAGAGTCTGAGCCCTGAACAAAGGCAAGCAAGTAGATTTATATATTGATCATTTCCACATACCTGGCGATCTTCTGATTCACGAGCGCGGGAAGGGTAAGATCCTGGGAACAAAGATTAGGAGAAGTTCCTCCAGGACGAGGTAGCCATCTTGGATTCCTTTACACTTCCCATATCAGTTTGAAAAAAAAAGAATAATATTTTTATTTCAGCTTTAAATGTGTGTGCCTGTTAGGCTCTGCATAGCTTCTGAAATCTCAGAATTTGTTTGGAATCTACCACTCTCATTTCCTGTTCCACATTGATTTGGCACAGATCTTGCTTTTTTTTTTTTTTTAATCACAGTCACCACCTGAAAACCCAGCGTCACAAAGATATGACATCATCCAAAGGAATGCGATGTGCTCTAATGCTGGAACCGTGAATGAACTCAAGCTTGATGTTTGAAAGGTGTCAGGTACCACTATGATTACCTCAATGATTTGAAATAGCTTGTGGTGGTCCTGTGAGCCTGCTGAAGCACCCAGGGTGCCTCTGCACACAGTTGGGAACGGCAGCCCAAGAAGAACAAGCACATGAATTGATTCTTGAGACCTTCCTTTTGATTCCAACTCTGCTGGAGACTCCTTGTATGACCTTGAGCCAGTCACTTCCCATCCCGGGTCTCAATTTCCCTCCTCCTCTGCAAAACTGGACTGACCAGAGCCTTCCTCTCTTAAGAAGCGTGCATGTGAGATGTACGTTGAGAAATGGTCACTGAAACTGCTGTGACATCCCAATGGAATGAGTCACGGATTCAGTTCCCTTAAAACATCTAGCACGTTCTAGACTTAGAAGAGCTGGGACTGAGAAGGAAATGAGAGCGTCTTAGTCTGGTTCTCCCGGAAGCAGACTTTGCGACCAGGATTCCTGGGAAAGGGAGTGGGGAGGTGAAGTATATGTGGATTTTATTATCCATGATGAGTAACTAGAGCTCAGTTCCTCTGGGTGACAGTGTGGTCACCTTGGAGTTACTCTGCCTCAGGGCCCAGACACTGGGGTATTTACCCAAGTCAACCCGTCTCAATTTAGAGCTGCTTCTAGGGGCATCAACTCACTAGTACCTCCAACTTGCCCTTTTGCACATGTCCTTGTAGTGCAAAATGTCATAGATAATACATGAATGAATGGACATGGATCTGTTCTAATAAAACTTTACTTACAAAAACAAGTGGTGGGCCAGACATAGCCCACATAGCTGAACGTAGCTGACTCCGAATCTAAGGTTGGGATGATGTTTGTTTACAACTGTGGTGCAAGTTCCAATCAACTTTCTGTGACCACCAGGAACAGGGAATCTTTCTAGAGTCTGAGACCTGTCTCAGGTTCAACACAAAAGAAAGCAGTGATCAATTAGTGTTGTCTACCTTGGCTCACAATGGGAGAAAATGACACACGTGCTGCACATTTTAACCTGTGGCCTCAGGAAACCTCAGCAATCAGAAAGAGCCCAAGCAATATACTTACGAATTGCCTCTTATATTATGTGGAGAGATCATCTGGGAAGTCTAGCATCTTCCCAAACTGATGGTGAACCCCTGGGACCTTCAGACCGTGCGCCCTTCTAGGGGCTCCTCCTTTGCCCCCTAGTGAGTAACTCAAAGGTAGAAACTACATATTTTGTTCTTTGTTTTTCCAGGCCTAACAGCGGCTAGGACAGTGTTTAGTGACTGTCTCTTGTATGAGTAAAAGAAAGAATGAATGAATGGATGAATAAATTGGAGATTCACAGAAATAGCTAACATTTCCTAAATGCCTACTATGTGCTAGGTTAAGACATTTGAATACCTATTATCACATCTCCAACATAAGAATTGTATGAAGCAGGAATTCTGAAGTCCATTTTTTCAAGCGAAATGGCTTTTTAAATTATGACCACACTAATATAGTAATGATTGTGATAGGGACAATGGCAGCTACCACTTATATCCGTGGACCAGGCATTGTGCCTCACATTTTGTTTACATACTTACACTATATCTGTGAGAGAGGGGATGTCTTTAATTCCCATTGTATAGATGGGGAAATCAAGGCTTCGATGTGGAAGCCGCTGGCTTGAACTTAGGCAGTGGAATGTTGCTGAGCTAAAATGTGGCAGCAGATCTGACTGTTCACCTTTAAGGCTCATGATCATTGCATTAAATCATAGTGCTGCC